TTATCCCGCAATTGTTTAACTATTTTTTCTGGCCTCAATTGTTTTACCATATTCACCTAACACCCTCTATATTTTTATGGTATAATTTTAAAAACCTCCCTTGAGGTAAACCTCATTTGAGGTTTATGATAATTACACTCAACTCCCTCTTTGTTTCAATAATATTACACTTACCTCCTTTGATATAAAATGAAATCACTACCGTTCATGTAAGAATTCAACCAAAAAAAAAGAGTGCATTCATCATTTTTTGGCCATCGTTACCAATTCCTTCTTCCCCCAACTATCAAACCCGTTCCTCAAGTGAAACTCTTTTTCTCAAGTATACATACACCCGTTACCTTCTCTACCTATTTGAGCTCATTTTCAGTGGATTCTTTCTTTATTTCTCACAGTGTTGAATATATGACACGTGTCTTCATTTATTAACAAACGTTAAAATTAGTTAAACTTAAATTGATCATTGATAAGTGACTAATTTACGTAATAATTGAATGATATTTTATGTTATTTTTAGTCACTTTGGTTATATTATCGGAAGAAAATGAATCATTTTGGCTATAATTGGGGGAAAATGTCTTAAGTGATTTAATGAGGTTTTTATCACTTTTTACTTGCATTTTGTGCATTTTTGACAGTTTTGACATATTTTCGTATTTCGGCTATAACTTGAGTTACAGTGATTGGATTGAAATGATTCTTGTACCATTTTGAAGCTAAAAGATATATCTATATTTGGTATGAAGACATCAAAGTCCAATTCAGTCGTTTTCCTAGTCAAAAAGTCGAAACACAAAAACTTATCTGGATGGTCAAAAGCTGAAACCCAGAATTGACCAGTCTATGATATTTCGACCATATCTCCGTTCACCGATCTCCAAATTCGATGATTCTTAAAGCATTGGAACGCTAATTCAAAGGGCTACAACTTTTGTGTTTTGCATAATAGGCAGTTCTACGGCTATTATAGAGAAAATTGCAGTTTAAGTGAGGTCAAAAGTGAAAACACGTATGGCAGCCGAATTTCTGCACTTTACTCAGCTATTTTTCTCATCTTCACACTACTTTCCAGCCAGAGTTGGAGAGAAAACATAGGTTGCATATGTTTCTGATGCACAAAGGAAGAAAAATAGCTTATTGTCAAGTAAAAAATATACGGTAGAATCAAGAGGCTGGAACTTTGTTTTGTTGACTTGGTTAACACCAGATTTAGAGAATCAAAGGGGAAAAGAAAAATACGGTAGGTGAATGGAGGATATCAGAATTTTAGGATAAAAACTGAGGCTGGTCATATTCTCTTGGGCGAGCAATTTTTGGAGAAGCTTGGAGTCTGCAAAAATGTAGCTCTTCCATTTTCTGTATGTTAGATTAGTTTAGTTTAGAGTAGTATAGCTCATCCACTCTTGTATATTGGCTAGATTATGATGAAGATGGAGATGAAGAAGGAGGAGTTAAACCTCATGTGACAAGGGTTATCTCTTCTCAAACTCTTTATCTTTTGTATTGGATTTTTAAGTATGGTTAATATGCAAGTTCTGGATTTTGTGTTTATTATTTATCTTTAAAGTTTATGCCTTGGGTTTGGTTGAACTTTCTATGATTGTTAGTGTTTATTATTTGGTTATTTGATGCCATTATTTGAGCAAGTTATTTAGTACTTTAGTTCTTTAAATCATGATTAATCTGGTACCATTAATTGTGATTATCTAAGGTGTTGTTTCTGCAATGAAAATTGAGATTTAACACTGGTTCAAGAGTGCTAAACATAGGGAGTACACTCACGAGAGTAGAAGTGCACCTATGTGATTTTAGTGATTCATTTCATGTAATTTCACAGAAGAAATGAACTTGTAACTAATTTCATAACCATGAGAATAGGTATGGATTAGTTATGAGTATAATTGATTCACTACGAAAGTAGGATTCATATGCATAAGGAAATTACACCATAACTAGCCAAGATAGTAGTTCTCAATGATCCAAAAATAATACTTGCATGAGTAGTTAGGGATACCATAACCTAAGGAGCTTTCATTTGTTATTTTCTTGTATAAGTTCAGTAGATTTACTTGTTATAATTTATTAATAGTCTAAATAATAGAGAAACTTTAGTAGTGCTGATAATTGTTCAATCTTTCTCATGGAATGAACTCGATATATATCCTAAACTATTAGTTGACCTGTATACTTGCAGTGAAATTGGTGTAAATCAGATTTTTTAACTTGTATGTATAGCAAAATCCCATCAATCATGTCTCTTCATAGTAAATGAAAACGCGTGTAATGCATTCAAATGTGTATTGTGAAAAATGAGGAGAGAATTCATTGAAGAGAAGTCAACCCCTCTTCTAATCCCAAGTTGACACCTTCTTGTCCCATCACCTAACCTTTTCTCCAAGCACAACCCGGCTCTTTCCAATACCCTTCACACTCAACCACCAATCCAAAAACCCACCTTTCTCTAAAATGTAGACGAGCACAACCCCATTTTCTTCTCGCATCAGCCCTCTCCTTTACGAGCTGCCTTCCATTCAATGGAAATAAAAGCCTACACACATCGATTAATGCATCCAAAAAGAGTCAACAATGCTAAACCTTAGTTAACTAATCTCTACCTAATTTTCCAATTTTATCCAAGAAAAATAGAAAGAACAATAATAAGTTATAATAGTGATACATGTTTGAATTACAATTACGAGATATCACCAATCTTACGAGAAGTCAAATTTAATACATGCTGATAAACAAAATAATCATCTCATTAAGATACTAATATATTGAAAAAATAGCATTAAGATAGTAGTTTTGTTTCATTATAACAATAATAAATTTGTTCTCTCAATCAAGTGACGTTGGTCTAAATGTTCGGACTTGAAAATGAATCAACTCAACTGATGATTCCTTCTGCTTAGCTAAAACATAATTTAGAACAGCCTAAATCATTAAAACTCTTTTCCTTTTTATTAGTCTTGAGATGATTTTCGTTTCAGTAACTACAATGAGACTAACGAGCTAATGTGCAATACACTGCTACTATTGCAACTAGTAGTATACATATCAAGAGTAAGATTTAAAGGGAAGTGAGGCTACAAACCTGGTAGTAGGTATAGCTGGAGGCATAGCCTCTATCAAGTTTTCTCTTTTTCTCCTCCATTAATAGCTATGGTTTAAAATTCTTCAGAATTTAAGAATAGCTATCCTGATAACTGTCATTTACATCCCTCAAGTCCAAACATCTGCATATATATAAGCTTCTCTTCTTAAACAAAAGTGAGCTTAACTAAAATCCCACTACTAAAATCCTAACTTTACTAGTGATGTTGGAGCAAATTTTGTTGCTGGGCCCCTTTTTCTGCTTACAATTTTTTTTTTTTTTGGGCATGCAAAATTTGGCCTTGTTTTTGTTTAAGGTGATGTATTTGGCTTTCGAATTGTATAGGGTTTTAAAATTTTAATGATGGCTTGTTAAGGGAGGAGTAAATATGATTGTACACTAATCCGTATAGCAAATACAACAAAAATATACCACTATAATGTGAACGACTGTACTTGTCCAAGTCCCTATTTTTCCCTGTGAAAGCAAACTCTTGGCCACTACTTTTCTCACGCCTATCTTTATTTTATCCCTTTATGTTAGGTATTTCCATCCCTGATTTGTAGATATTTTCGCCTATGTCTTACATGAAGTGATAAATAATTAAGGATAGAGAGAGCTGTAGTGTGTGTGAAACTTCCAAAATTACAGACTTGTCATGCTACTAAACTTCAAAAGAAAATAGACCCAATAGCTATGAAGTTTACAAAAGTGGATACCTATTATCAAACCAATCATTCTCGTATTTCCTAGATGAAGTGGTCATAATTTCTAACCTAGCAAAAATACGAAAGAAACTTGAAAGGGTAAATAGGTGTAAGACTTCAAAGGATAGCTACCTTGATAACCATCATCTACATTCCCCAGGGCCAAAATTCTATTATATAAGCTTGTCTTCTCCCAAGCATTCCCAGCAAAAGCCTCATACTTGATATCTGCAGTCATGGCTTCTCATCCACATAATGATTTGTGTAGTGGGGCCCATGTGCACATCGCCCTGGCCCGCGAGCTCGGACAGGAGGAGGGGCTCGGCCCTGCAGGTCAGCTCGGAGGCCATGAGGGTACGGCCTCCCCGAGCGGATGGGCCGCATGGGCTGCAGAGTCCAAGCTCGTCGTAACTGGATAGTGGAGCCCTAGGGAGAGTTCTTCTCCAACAAGGACTCCCTGTTTTACTAGGAAACTACTACCTATGGCCCTATAAATACCACGCGTGGGGAAAACACAAGGTACGCCATTCTTAGCACAAAGAGTATATTGCTTTTATTTCCGAAATCTCTTCTGACTTGATCGTCGGAGTTGCTTCAGGGGAATTAGCCCCGCAGCTCGTTCACATACAGGTCGGACGCCTCACCAGCTCGCTTCCCAGGCTACAGCCCAGCTTGGATCTTCACTTCGGCAGTCGCATCAATTGGCGCCGTCTGTGAGAAACAGTTCTCTCTTTTCTTTCGCGAAAAGCATGCCAAAAACTAGATCTCAGAGGAACGTGGATGGTTCTGAGGGGAACGGGCAAGGTGATCAACAGCACGTTCACCAGGACACCTTCGTGGAGAACGAAAGGATCGAGCTCTCGCGGATCCCGCCAGAACAGTTGGTGCAGTCGGTAGCCGCGAACTTGCCTACTTTCGAGGCCATCGTGAAATACCTGAAGGGACAATCCGGAGTCCCTTCCAGCCCGGAGCCCCGGACGCAAAAAGCTGATGGAACGGGGAATTCGGAATCCCGATCAGGGAGTCCTAGCCCCCGACCGAAGAGGGCACGAAAGGAGCTCACGCGCGAGCAGGTCCAGGTTCCGGAGCCCTCTCACAGGAATTCCCGAACTGACCACCCGGAGCCCATCCTGAGGCCCTCACGGGTGGAGGGCCCTCCCAGGAAGGAGGAGTACCAGATCTAGGATGAACTGGATCTAATGCTGGATCCGGAGTCGGACAGGTACACCGCCTTTCCCTTCGTGCCTGATATCGAGGACTATCCCCTGCCAGCAAAGTTCAAGATACCGTCCATGAAGTCCTACGACGCGACCACAGATCCAAAAGACCACCTGTTCGCATTCTTGACTCAGATGCGCTTGCAGACGGCTGCTGATGCGGTCAGGTGCAAGACCTTCCCAATGTTTCTGGAAGGAAAGGCCCGACAGTGGTTCCAGGGATTGCCTCCCAGGTCAGTTCGGTCATTTAGCCAGCTCGCGCGGCTGTTCGCAGCTCAGTTCGTGTCCTCACGCGCCTTCTCCAAAACCACGGCTCATTTGATGCCTGTTCATCAAGGGCCTGAGGAGTCACTGCGCGAGTATATGGTACGCTTCAACAATGAATCCCTTCAGGTTCGGGACCGAGATGACAAGGTGGTGATGGCCGCCTTCGTCAATGGGTTGCGCAAACAGAAGCTGTATACGGAGTTCGTAGAAAAACCTCCCAAGTCCGTCCGGGAGATGTTAGACCGAGCTCATGAGAAGGCGAACGCCGAAGAGGCCAATCGATTAAAAGGCGCCCAGGAGAGGTTGCGAGACGACAAGCGCAGGAAGGGCGCCAACCTGGGAGAGTCGCGACCAGGTCAGGGGCGGAAGAGCGTATTCTAGCGCTTACCTCGGAGCCGACCATGGGAGAAGGAAAAAGCCTGGACTTCACTCACAGCACCCAGAGCTCGGGTTCTTGCCGTAATGGAACAACAAGGGATCTCCCGCCCTCCTCGGCCGCTGGCTGGCGACAAAAGCCAGCGGGACCAAGGCTTGTACTGTGCCTACCATCGGGACGTCGGGCACGATACTGAGGACTGCCGTCACCTTAAAAAGGAAATCGAAAAGCTGATTCGAAGAGGTAATCTTGGTCAGTTTATCCGTGAGAGAACAACTGATCAAAAGCAAGGGAGGTTCAAACGAGATCGGGCGGCCAGCTCGCACGACCGAACCCGGGTCCATCGAGGACGAACTCCAGAGCTGGGAGTTCAGAACCTAGCGGGAGTGATCAACACTATTGCAGGGGGACCTGCTGGGGGAGATAGCCATACCGACCTCCTCCCAGTGGGGAGAGCTGGAACAAATGCTTAAAGATGTACGAGGAGATCATCTATGGGCCGGAGGACGCGGTACCCTTAGCTTCCAACAACCATGAGGCAATTGTGATAGAAGTCATCACATGTAACTACAAAGTAAAGAAAGTATACATCGACAATGGGAGCGCCATCGATGTGCTGTACTACAAGACCTTCAGAGAACTGCAGCTGGAGGATAAGCTGCTCATCCCAATTCGTACTCCTTTGATAGGCTTTGCAGGTCCGCCAGTAAGGCCAGAGGGAATGATAACCCTCATGGTCACTGTAGGGAAATCACCGAAGTGCCGAACTGTTCCGATGAATTTCGCGGTGGTAAAGGAGCCATTCTCCTACAACATGATACTAGGACGACCAACCCTAAACGCACTCTGATAAGTGACTAATTTACGTAATAATTGTATGACATTTTATATTATTTTTAGTCACTTTGGTTATATTATTGGAAGAATATGAATCATTTTGGCTATAATTGGTGAAAAATGCTTTTAAGTGATTAAATGAGGTTTTTATCACTTTTTACTTGGATTTTGTGTATTTTGACAGTTTTGACATGTTTTCGTATTTCGGCTATAACTTGAGCTACAATGATCGGATTAACATGATTCTTGAACCAATTTGAAGATAAGAGATAGATCTACAACTTTGGTGAAGACATCTAAATCCAATTTGAAGGTTTTCCAGGTCAAAATGCCGAATTACAATAGCAAATTTCTACTGGTCGAAACTGGAACAGGGCAATGAGCAGGTAAGGGTATTTCGGTCATTTCTCAGCCTACACAGATCCAAATGAGATGATTCTTGATGCATTGGAAAGCTAACTCAAAGAGCTACAAGTTTTATGTTTTGGTCAAGAGCTAAATCAGCTTTTATCATCAAGAAAAGTTTAGTTGAAATTGAGTCAAAATCGGAGCAGAGCTGGAAATTGAACCAGAAGTGACCAAATGGTCACTGTAGCAATCTGGCCGGAATTTGGCCGGATTTGTGGCCGGATTCCTGGCCGGATTGTGGTCAGAAAAGGCTGCTTTGTACGCGTAAAACTCAATTTCACCTTCACCAACTCACATGTGATGCTATACATGTGAGAAACATTCCCAACTGTAAAAGGGAGATGTAATCCTCATTTCTTGACCATATTTCATCATAAAATAGCCAAGATTGCAAGATTGAAGGGGATCCAATAATAGAGAGCAAAAAGGAGATGGAGTTCATAGCAGAAAAATAGGGAGGACATACGGGAGAGAACTTGAAGTGCAGAAATGTAGTTCTTTCATTTCCTTAGTGTAGTAAGTGTAGTTAATCCATTCTTGTATAATAGCTAGATTAGGATGAAGATGGAGATAAAGAAGGAGGAGTTGAAGCTCAAGTGACATGGGTTATCTCTACTCCAATTCTTTATCTTTTGTATTGGATTCTTAACTATGGTTATAATGCAAGTTCTGGAATTTATGTTTATTATTTGTTTCTAAAGTTTATGCCTTGGGTTTGGTTGAACTTCCTATGATTGTTAGTGTTTATTATTTGGCTATTTGATTGCTAGTATTTGAGCAAGTTATTTAGCACTTTAGCTCTTTAAATCATGATTAATCTGGTACCATTAATTGTGATTATCTAAGGTGTTATTTCTGCAATGAAAATTGAGATTTAACATTAGTTTAATAAGTGCTAAACATGGGGAGTACACTCACGAGAGTAGAGGTGCACCTATGGGGTTTTGGTGATTAATTTCATGTAATTTCATTGAAAAAATAAACTTGTAGCTAATTTCATAACCATGAGAATAGGTATGGATTAGTTATGAGTATAATTGATTCACTACGAAAGTAGGATTCAAATGCATAAGGAAATTACACCATAACTAGCCTAGATGTAGTACTCAATGATCCAAAAATAGCACTTGCATGAGTAGTTAGGGATACCACAACCTAAGGAGCTTTCATTTGTTATTTTCTTGCATAAGTTCAGTAGGTTTTACTTGTTATAATTTATTGATAGTCTAAATAATAGAGAAGCTTTAGTAATACCGGTAATTGTTCACTCTTCCCTGTGGGATCGACCCGATATATACCCTAAACTACTAGTTGATCTGTATACTTGCAGTGAACGGGTGTAATTCGGTATTTTTTAGCTTGCACGTATGTAAAATACCCGTCAAGTTTTTGGCGCCGTTGCCGGGGATGATTTGGCAATATCGGTGTGAAGAGCAACTTTATTAGTTTAGACATAATATTAGTTATAATGTGAATGTTATTTTTTGTTATTTTTGTATTTTATGTGTATGTGTTTCATTACCTATTTTTCTTACTAATTTTGCTTTTGAGGTTGTTTAAAAGCAATTTTAGGTAATGAGAAGGGTAGGTCAATTTGGAGGACAATGCTTGAGAAGTGGAAGATTGGCAATAGATGGTTACCAAGTGCAAAGCTTCTTCAACAGAGGTAACCAAGAATTTATTGAGTGTATGTCTTTTGAAAATGGTTTGAAGTGCTTAAAGGCAAAATTTGATGTAATCATGTTACAAGTTCAAATGGACACAATTATGCATGAAATTGAGCAAGGGAGGAATTTTAATGCTTTTAATTCTTATCATATGATTTGTGACTTGTGTGGAGGTTATCATGCAACTAATACATGTATGCAAGCACAAAATGTGGATTACTATGATGAATTAGAGCATTACAATCCTTGTTTTGATCAATATAGTGCTAATTGGAGCAATTCTCCTGCTTATGGTTGGGATAATCAATTTACTTATAGTAATTCTTCATATTTTTATGATTACCAATCTGAATGTGTCCAATATGAATCAAAACCATCTTGGGAGTTGGCAATAGAAAAAGTAGCTAATGATTCTAAGCCATCTTGGGAGTTAGCTATAGAAAAATTAGCTAATATGACTTTCGACCGTTTTGATAGGATTGAGAAAAGAATAGATGAATTAACTTCTCACTTTGGCAGAATAAATGAGCAATTGAATGCATTGTGTGAAGTTATTTCTTCTAATAATTTGCAAAATGATCCTAGCATGAATGGTAGGAATGTTGTATGTGAAAATGGATTGCATTTTGATGAAAATGATGAATCTCAATTGTGTTTCAATGAGCAAATGTCCATTTCACATGATAATATCTTTGGAACTAACATTGAACCGCAAGAGATGAGCCTTAACGACTCATTTTTCACCCCTCTTGAGGAGAGTATTGAAAGTGTAGGTTCTAAGGGTATTCTTGCCCAAGACATCCTCATTGCACCTCCTTTGATAAGTTCTCAAGTGGTATATTTTCAAGGTAATATTTATGAAACACTTGGAATAGGTAAGCTACTTCCATTTCTCACATCATTAGATCATGTGGCTTTTGCTATAAAGTCACCTTTTAATGATCCACCACGACCTAAAATGGTGGATTATTCGTTAACTAAACCTCCTTGAAAAATGAGGTTAAATAGTCAAGCTATTGACTTTAAAGAAGCGCTTATTGGGAGGCAACCCAATGTTTGTTTAAGTTCGTGTTACTTTGGAGTGATTTTATGTTTAAAGTATAAGTTTGAGTAATTTTGTTGTTTTTCATTTGTAGGTTTTGAAAAAGTGATCAAATGAGGTGAAAAGGGCGAAGTTTGATCAAAGATCTCAATACCTCAAATTCAGTAATTATGGTTTTTGATGCATTAAAGAGGTTTAGAATGCATGTTTAGATCATTTTACATGTGCGTGAATGGTTTATTTTGACATAGAAATGATCTAGGGTGTATTTTGAAGAATTGAGGTCAAACTGAAAATTGCAAAAATTCTGCAATAAGTGCAGATTCAAAGGATCCGAGCTCGGATCCACTTCTGCAATCAGAGAAAAACTTCGAGCTTCTTGATCCGAGCTCAATCATCATGATCCGACCTCGGATCCTTTTAAAAACGAAGGCTTGGATCACTTTTCAACTCCACTTTTCGTCTTGTTGGCTTGTTTTTAGTAAGTTTTAGTTGTTCGATTAATGTTTTTTTTGTGTTTTGTAGGTGGCAATGACAAGAGTTCATGCAAATGATCTCAATTGCAAAGATGTTTATATTATGGTAACGGGAGTTTTCATGTTCAATTGCTGCATTTCATGCATTTAAAATGTTTCATGTTTAAGTTATATTCATGCATGATCATGTTAAATTTGAATTTTATTCAAAGAACATGAAGTAGGTTGAATGTGGAAGGTTGGCCAAGCAAATTTGGAGGAAAAACTGCAGAAAACAGCTTTTTCTGCAGCAAATCCGGCCATAAATCCGGCCAAATGTTGGCCGGATTGAAGGCCGGATAGTCAGGGGAGAAAAGAAAATTTTTTCGAGCATTCTGGACAGAATCCGGCCGAAAATCCGGCCTGAAATCCGGCCAAAAACTGGCCGGATTGTAAAAAAAAAAAAAAAAAAAAGCTGTCCATTGTAGCAAATCCGGCCAAGAATCCAGCCGGAAATCCGGCCATAAACTGGCCGGATATGCAACAGTATAAAAAAAAAAAAATTTTTTTTTTCCCAGAATCCCTCCACGAATCCC